CGCCCTTCCCAATTTTGAACCATGTAGTGTTCCCTTGCTCTGTTCTGACGACTGCCTCCTGGTCCAAGTATAAGTTTCGCATTAGAACGATCAAGTGTTCTGGGACTCATTCTCAATTCACTGCTGCTGAGTTGGAACCAAATCAAAGCTGACCCTGTAGCAGGTTTTGAAAGGCTGTAAATTGCAAGATTGCCCATCCTTCTCTATAGCAGAACTGCTGGTGGATTCTGCTAGACAGGAGTGGCTTCTTGGTTAGCAGCACAACTCTCTAAGGACAACACTACCAGCCTGATAATCCACTGCCAGCAAGAGGATGGGATTTTTACAGTTTGATGATCTGTCATGGAACAGGAAAAATGATGGGTTAGCCTTAGGGGATTTAGAAAAGGCGCAGTATTCCCTTAGAGGAAAGTGCAACACATATTCAAAGCAGTGTGGACAGCTGCTATCTTTGATCAGGGCACCACTATTTTTGAGCAGGTTATCTTTGAGGAGAGAACTACTATCTTTGAAATCTTACAGTAATGCTATGTAAATATGCCTTCACTTTGAAATTATTGAACCAATCCCTACTAGAAAGGAATTATCATAATCTTTTTCATTTTTTGCAAATGCAGCTTTTAATCATTATACTAATGTAAGGTTAACTATACCTGGTTCCAACTGATCCACAAATTCTTAAAGACATGCTGTTGTTAATAGGTGCCAGTGAGTCTACCATAACTCATAGTGACCCTATGAACAGCAGACCCGAACCCCACCCTATCCTTTTTCCCCCTGATACACTAGAGTCCATTGCTGTGGTCACTGTGTCAATCCATCTTGTTGAGGGTCTTCCTCTCTTTTGCTGACCTTCCATCCTTTCAAGTATGATGTCCTTTTCTAAGGACTGGCCCCTCCTAACAAGATGCTCAAGGTATGTGAGACCAAATCTCATCATCCTTCTCTCCAAGGAACACCCTGGATGTACTTTTTCTAAGACATGCTTGCTCATTCCCTTGGCAGTCTATGCAATATTCAGTACTCTAACACCGCAGGTCAAAAGCATTGGTTCTGCTACTGTCATCCTTAGTCAGTGTCCAACTTTCAGATGAGTAAGAAGGAACTGAAAAAGAGAATAGCTTAAATAAGATGTATCTTGAACTTCAAATTGCACTGCTGCTCTTCAGTACCCTAGAGAGGTCTCAGAAGGACTTCTGAAAGCAACATGTCTTGATTTCTTGACTGATTTGCCAACTAATGATTGTGAATCCAAGCAAGATGAAATTGTTAACCACTTCAATCTTCTCTCCAACTACCATGGTGTTGCCTATTGGGCTAATGGTGAAAATGATTGTTTTCTTGATGTTGAGATGTAATCCACATTGAAGGCTGTAGTCCTTGGTCTTCTGCAATAAGCACGTCAGGGCTGGATTTTATTAAGAAATATGGTATCACAATATGGTAACAAGAAGGCTCAACAATAACCTGTGGTATGCAGATGACCCATCTGTGCAAGCTACTTGAAGATCTTACACACACCATTAGGAACAAATATGTTTATAATGTAGGTACTGACTGTATCTACATAGGAGCCTGAAATCTTGTAAGTCACAGTAAGAGGATGAATTTAGGAAACTTGTTTAAAAGAGGGCCCAGCTTCTTGAATCATCTGATTACCATACAGATTAAACAGGTATGGAAAATGATATAACCCTAATGTACACCTTTCTTGATTTTAAACCATGCTGTTCCCCAAAGGACTGCTTCCTGGTCTATGTATAGGTTTTGCATAAGCACAATTAAGTGCTCTGGAATTACCATTCTTCTCTGATGTTAAGTCAATAATAACCCAATCTGTATACCATTATCCCTGGTGGCTTAGTGGGCTTAGAATTAACAACTGCTAATCAAATGTTTGAACCTACCAGCCACTCTGTGGGAGAAAGATGAGGCAGTTTCCTCTGTAAAGACTGACAGTTTCAGAAACCCCATGGAGACTTGCCATGAGGAGGAACTGAGTGCATGGTGGTGGGTTTGCTTTTAGGGGTGATGTATTTCACTGTTGGTGCATTAATTGTTGTTACTGTTATGTACCATCAAGTCACCTGCAACCCACAGTGACTCTAGGTAGAGCAGCTCTGAACTCTGCCCTGTCCTGAGACAGTCTTACTAATTCCGACACACCAACCCCACTGTTACATTATCAATCCATCTCATCCAGAGTCTTCCTTTCCTACGCTGTCCCTCCACCCTTCTGAGCATGATATCCTTCTCCAAGAACCAGTCTCTCCTGGCTATGTGCTCAAAGTATGTGAGACAGAACTTCAAAACCTAGCCTCCAAAGAGAAACTTGATCTCACCCTCTCCAAGACAGACCTAATTCTTTTCTTGGTGGTCCATGGTATGTTCAAGACTCTTCTCCAGAACCACAATTGCAAGGCATTGATTCTTCTTTTGTCATCTTTAGTCACTGTTCAGCTTTCTGATGCATAGCAAGTTAATAGCAAATACCATGGCCTGGATCAGGCACACCTTAGTCTCTAGCCTGAAAGTTAAGGAGCTGTGCTGCCAACCCAAAGGCAGGAAGTTTA